TTCCTTCAGACAAGATGGAACATGTCCTTCCCTAAAGGATGCATTGATTATATCCGTGAGGAATCTCACCAATGCATCCCCCCTTGGATGGCCAGCCATGATGGGCAAGGGTCGAGAAGGCAAACCGCCTCCACATTTACTTATTGATTAGGGAAGCCAGTAGTCTGAATTTACAGGACCTAAGCAGAGCAGTGGAGCAGAGCTTGGAGATTTCTCATCCAAAGGCTTGCCATGAGTAGAGGTTGATTCAAGAGCAGTTAAAAACATCATCATTGTTTTCATATTTAACAGCCTGTCAGAAGGATATCTTTATGAAACATCTGTATTCATATTAATATTTATTGTGCATTTTGACAGACATTGTGAGAATAAGTAAAATAACAATTTGGTAACATAAATGAAAGCACATGAGCACAGTTGTTGTTTTTGGGTGCATTTAAGATCACTTATGGCACCCCTACCATAGGGTTTTCTGTAGCTGAGAGAGTGTGAGATGCTCAAGGTCACTCAGTAGGTTTCCAAGGCTGAGTGAGAATTTGAACTCTGTTCTCCAGAATCATAGTCCAATGCTCAAACCACTAAGCCATCCTGGCTCCATGAACACAGGATTATGCAAGCCAAATAAATATTATTGTTACTAGGCCAACCATAGGTGGCTAGCATATGGGATTAAGATATTTGCATTGATGCTTCCAAAATCTATTAAAAATGCAAAAAAAAAAAAAAAGGAAGTGGTAACTGAAATTTATGGTAATAGAAAATTTCACAGCAGTTCAAAAGCAAAGATTATATTTTCAAGGAGCAATTTGTCTCTAAAATAAGTATGCTACGGGCACAGTCAAGGAGAATTGCAATAAGGTTCTTGCCTGCATAATTACTCCAGTGATGGAGGCAGCCGAAGCATCACAAAGCACATGAGAACGGGGTCACAGGCACTACAGCAAAGGGGGAACTGTAACAAAACTGGTACCCATTAAGAGATAAAGCTGCCCAGCTGGTTTCCAAGCTGCTTAGAAGCTACCTGGGAAGCTTTATATCCTTATCAGGAGGACTTTCACTGCTGCCCCCCCCCCCACTGGCACTGTACTCTGGTCAAAAACGTAATTTGCACTTGCATAAATGACATGCTGGCACAAATCACCAGCAGAATTCCAGCATTCCATTACCTTCCCATGTATAATTCTAGGAGTAATTTTATCTATCCATATCCATTTTCAGCATGGCAAGGAGAAATCTTACTCAGATTATCTAAAAGCTGTTGAAGTGTAGTACCTTATCACACTATTGGGGTGATGTCAGAAGCCTCAGAAAATGTGGGAGAAATACCCAACATAGGTCCTATGTCACACTCACACTAGGACAGTGCTACTGGGTGATCATTTTGCTAGCAAACAACATGCCATATGAACATATCCAGATACATGATGGTTCATATCAATGACTTTCTTAAATATTCACACATCAGTCTACTATTTTGTATTACCGGTACTTTATTTTTCAACTAAATATATTTTTTGGCCAAGATCCCTCATCCAGCTTTGGACCTCTTCTTGTCCCCCAGCAGTTGCCAAACCCCAGGTTAGTGCTGCTATTAAATGTTAAGCTGTTAAATGGCTATGGGGTGGGGATGGAGAGTGAAGCAACTAAGAAGGACTGCTTTCTGTCCCTGCTGCAGTTCTTTTGACTGAGATGGAAAGGGAAAAAGCTCATCATTTCTCTTTATCCATTCTTAGCACTTTGCAGTGGAGATAGAACACAGTTCACACTGCTTGGCTGCCTTCCTTGCTTTCCTCTTTCCCACTATGACTATTTAATGTCTGTAGCAATGGTCTCCCCAGGGATTTGCACTTGTGGTTGTGAGGCTAGTCAACACCTCTTGCATCCTGTACAAAATAAGATAGAATGCATAGCCTTGAGTTACATGCACACGTAGCACATTTATGCTCTGCTCATAAATTGCATTTCTGCCTATGGTACTTGCAAAGCAACATATGATAATATATATATTTAAAACACTAGACAACTTAAAGTCAGCTTAAAATTAATATAAAAGAAATGGAAAATAGAAAATAAATTTAAAAACCAAAGGCCAGTTTGGATGCAGTCTGCTTGATTTCCTTCAGGAAAGAGCTCCACAATTGAAGGTCTTGCTACAGAGGAAGTCCTGTCTTGTGTACACACAAGCTATCCTCTGGTGGGTGGAGGGATGGGCGACAGGACCTCCCTTGAAGATCTCAGATTCCAAAGTTCCCATGGAAAGAAGAGATTGTAGGGGTTGAGCAGATGGGCCAGGATATCACAGCTCAAGCCAGTGCTATCCTCGTCCAGGTCCCAACCTGGATCAGTCCCTGGGGTGGTGCATTTTTAAAAATGCATCCCCCTTCCAACACAGCCATTTCTGTCATTAGAGAGTGGGGGATTAGCAGAGACACATCCAGCTATTTTCTTTTAGCTGGATATGCTGCAAACAGCCATCTAGAGGGACTGCTAGTGATCCTCAGGAGGTATCAGATTATGTCTTAAAAGCACATCCAGCTATAGGAACATGTTTCGGGGTACCACCAGGAGATATAGCTATGGAGACATAGCTGTGTGCCATATGTACTTCTCCCAATGCAGGATTCAACCAATATGATTGTCATGATTAGTAGCCACTGATAGCATTATCTTCCATTAAGTTATCCAATCCCTCTTTAAAGCCATCCAAATTGGTGACCATAACCACCTCATGTGGTAGTGAATTTGACAGTTCCTTATGCGCTGTGTATGAAAAGGGACCTTGTAGCACCTATGAGATTGGGAAAAAGAAGATGGTAACATGAGACTTAAGTCTACTTCATCATATGTGCCATGTGAAGAAGCACCTTTTACCAGTTTGGAATCTCCCACCATCCAAATTCAGGAGATGGCCCCAGGGTACTAGTTACTAGAGTAGAATTTTATATCTACTTCCCCCACTGTCTCTGAAAAAAAGACTGGGAATCTTTTCCAAACTCCTTGCCAAGCTTTTGTTCTGTGAGCTGCAGTTTAAAAATACTTTCTGCATGTTTTACTTATGTCTTTGTACTTGTACTTGAGCCACACTGAATCCCTGTTTTGGAGAAAAAGAAGGATGTGAATGAAATAATAATAATGGTCAAGAACTGATTAACACAAGGTGGATAACATTGGTCATATTTCTAGCAAAACCAGGGGGGGGGAAATGATGGCAGGAAAAAATGAAGAAACTCTATAATATGTATAATCTGAATATCTATTCCAGTAGATATTCAGATTATACATAATAGATTTTTTTCATTCTTTTCCTATCCTTCCTTCCCCCCTCCCCCAAGTTTTGCTAGGTATAGTGTGAGGTGACTTGAAGCTTCTCCTTACTGGTTATATTTCTGGCTGTGGAACAAAAAATAGTCCACTTGTTATGTTAAAGAAAATAAATCAATATGCAAATAAGGTTTCTTTTTCACTATGTGTGCACATGGACAACTATTAACCTTCTTCAAGCATTTTAACAATTTTCTTACAAAGGGTGAGGAGTACCTCTAATTCTGCCAACCATCCATTTTATCCAAATTTTCCTCTACATAAAGAGGATAACTGCAGCAAGGAATCTCTATTATTGATCAAGGTTTTCTCCATGATTTAGACCCCTGAATTTGGATATGGTTAGAATACCTAAGGAGGGTTCTTGTGAAACAATATATGTTGCTGCAGAAAATCAAGTGTTATGGTTAATTTATGATTGCATATTCATCAATAATTATAGTCATCTGTGCATTTTCAACAACTATTGTAAGACTATTATTCCATTGTTTAAAGAAAGCACATGGAAATCTTCCACTTGGCTATCATTCTCTCTTGGAATAAAAATCCCTGTAATCTATCTTCCAGAAAACTGCTTAAACAAAATCTCCAATAGTTTGTCAGCACAGCTAAGGAAGCTGCATTGTTGTTTGGTTTTCTTCTCCTTTCCAAGGAAAGATCTGAGTATTTCATGTTGATTGCTTGATTGGCTGCAGTGGGACTCTTTAAAAATACTAAAAAAATCAAGAATCCAGTAGAAATCAAACATAAGTCGCTATCAATCATGTGCTTGGGGTATTAGACAAGGTTTTTACTCAGGAAGATGTCATTAAAAGTTGAAGAAATTAATTGGTGCCATTGAACCTAATGGCCTTTTCTGACACAGTTCTTCAAATGTAAAGAAAATTTATGGATAAGGCAAATTCCTTGTGGGATTTTTATGGATGTCTGCTTTGTTCTGTTATTGTTTATTGTAAATGTTATTACTGTGATCTATTGCTCCATCATGCTTTGTCTATACTGGTTATGCCATTTTGCTCCTCATAACAACTGAGGGCTTCTGTCACTGGCCAAAAAAATAGCATTTATTTTGAATTTTCTTGCCTTACATATTCCTGAAGCAATATCCAGGCATGTATTTAATATGTTTAAAGTTTTATATCAAAGACATTTTGGTTTGCTGGATTAAATAATGTTACACATTTTCCAACAATTCTGAGATCTGGTGCAGTTTGACCTCTGTTCCTTTTAATGGGGCCTTTTCAACAACACAAACAAGCCCAGTTTAAGCGAGCAGAGGCAGCATTGTTAACAGTATTAAATACTGTACCCTTGTTCTCTTTATAAATTTTCCTTTCACTTGGTCTATGCATGCTCAGATGTTTACACTAAGGCTACAATCTACATCTACCTACTTTGGAATAAGATTCAATGAATTCAGTGGGACTTACCTTTGAGTAGACCCATGAATAAATGTGCTATTGGGGTGCAGTTATGTCTCTGTATATTTGGGAGCAAATCCCATCATTTTACTGGTATGTCAGCCCTATTCAGGTTTGCAAAAAAGAGGTTAAAGAACACTTGAGAAGGGTCTTATTTTTTAATTATACTAAATACATTTATATAAAAAAAGAACACTTGAGGAGGGACTGTGCTTAATCCCTTCTGTTATTGTTTTTAATAGTGTGAAAATCTCTGAAAGGGAGATTTATATGCAGATGGTCTCCCTGTGAGCCATAGATATAGAAGAGGCTCTAATTTTCAGAACTGGCCATGTTCTAATCAAAGCAATGATTAAGATAAGTAGGACTAGCACACTACCCCTTTTGCATGCTTGACAATATACATAGCAATACAATATTTGTATAGCAATGTAATATTAAGGAATAACTACGTGTTACCAGCAATTGCATGAAACAGAGCCTCAGAATTGTCTCTTTGTTTTAAAGAAAGGCACCGTGGGAACATTTATGGTGGAAAAATGGCAAAGAAGGGGCAGTCAAGTATTTCCTTTCAAAAATCCCTTCCACTGGCTGTAGGTTATTTCCTCCTGAAAATAAATATATATTTGCAATAAAATATTTGTGTTTTGATTTAATTTATGTCTTGCCTTTCTCTCTATGCAGGATTCAATTGCCTAAAAATATTTAGCAATTTAACAATGGCAGGGCTGATTCAGAGCAGAAAAATAGTGGGAGAAGGAAGAGTCAAGTGTGCCTTCCTCTTTCTCTTCCTACACTATTCCCTCTTGTAGTTGCTCTTGGTTGTTGTTTTTTAAATAACAACATTTGGT